TATCTCCTGGTATGCGATGTCCATCTCCAGTTCTTGGGCCATACTGAATCTGATACTAGGGTGTAGCCCCTCAATAAATTGATGAACCCGCTCTCGAATAGTAGCAACCAAGGCTGGTACATGCCTAGCCAAATCACTGAATCGGACAGCATACTCTGACATGGTCATAGAACCCTGGCGCAACTGCTCAAACTCGGTGCGCCATGCATCTTTGAGGCTCTAAGGAACATATTCCCTCAAGAACATATCTGAAAATTGAGTCCAAGTGAGTGAAGCTGCCTCAGTCGGACTATCCAACTCATATGCTCGCCACCACTGGTAGACCGCTCCTCTAAGCTGGAATGTCGTGAAAGAAACCCCACTGGAACCGACAATACCCAGAGTATGGAGGATACGGTGACATTCCTCAAGAAAACTCTGAGCATCCTCTGATTCTAAATTGCTGAATGTGGGAGGGTGGTACTTCTTGTACCTCTCGAGCCTGAGTTGCTCCCCCTCCAAAACTGCTGCCCTAGCATCGGGTCGAACTGGGAGAATTGGTTGCCCTGGTATAACCTCTGGGGCATTGTCAACCTGGGCATGTGGCTCTGGAGTACGAGCGGGCGGAGTCTATGCTCCTCCCCTGGCCTGAGATGTGGCAGGAGCAAGTAGAATTAACCCTGCCTGAGCTAGAGTGTCGAACATGCTCAAAAACTGGGCAAAAGTCTCCTAAAGTGCAGGAGTAGTAACAGGCATCTCAGGTGCCTCCTCTCCAACTAGAGCTACTGGTGGTTCCTCTGCAGCAGCTCGTGCAGGTACTCTAGCTGCACCACGTGGTCTTCCTCGGTCTCTACCCCGGCCCCGACCTCTTGCGGCTCCAACAGGGGGCGTAGGTGTCTGATCATCAAATCCAGTTATGCCTGTCCTCACCATCTATGAGAGAATGGAAAGACAATGGTTTAGAATTTTGAAGTAAACAATTGTGCACGATAAGGAATCAAAGAAGTGAACATTTCCTAACAGTTCCATAGCCTCCCGAAAATAAGTACTGACATCTCATGATGGCACCTAGTCTCTAATACTAGGTAAGTATAACAATTTACGGAATAACTAAATATAGATCTGAAACTTAATCCTTAACAACTGAAATAAATAAGTACTGCAACTTAAACAAATTACAACTTTTAAAATCCAGTAGAAATAAGTCACAAGACTCTAAGAACTTATTCTAAGTGTCTCTATACATCAGAGTCTAAAGAGAATGAGGGAAACAACATAATAAGGATAGAATGGACTTCGAGGTCTGCAGACGTTGGCAGATATACCTTGAAGTCTCCGCGTACGGCTAGTTCAATGATTCCTGATCTGATAAGAAGTACCTGGATCTGCATAAAAAGATGTGCAGAAGCGTAGTACGAGTACACCACAGCGGTACCTAGTAAGTGCCAAGCCTAACCTCGGTAGAGTAGTGACGAGGTCAGGTCTAGCCCTACTGGAAATAATAAAAGGCATGGTGAAAATGTTAACAATACAATAACAGTAAAATGACAATGGAATGAATCAAGTAAGTAGTATGTCACAATTTAACTTCATAGAATAAGGGCAAATAATATCTCGCGGAAAGAAAACAGAAATTCACATCTTTAAAGAAAATCACAAAATAACCAAGGCAAATGCAGCCACAAAGAAATATCAACAAGGGGCACTCTCGATGTACCACCTCATAGTCCCAAATCATAAATAAATTCACAATATCTCATTTTCTTATATCACCGCGGAAGCCTTCACATTCAATTTTAAAGAAATAATTTTTTCTGAAATAGCATCTCGCGTTTTAGCCACCCTTATCACACCGAATGACTTCTAGTAGTTTTTCTACTAGCCACGCATATCAAGCCATCCTTATCTAACCGCATGCGTTTCAACACCCAGACCTTATACCACCGCATGCGTATCAATATCACAATATATCATAATTTGTACCTCAAGTGCCCAAATATTTTAACTTACCAAAATAAATCAACAACAACAATATTTTTCACAATAAGGAGCTCATGGCTCAATCACAAGGAATATAAAAATCGCACAAAATATTCGGGAATGAATAACTCAGCAAAAATAATATTTCACAATTTTTAGCATGTTGCCTCAATACCAAATAAAAAAAAATATCAAATATTTCATATTAATAATAATTCAATTAAGAAATTCAACTTTCAAATATTGAGCACAGAATAAAAAAAATAAAGTTTCAACTAAACAGGTAAAATAATTAGCAGGAAAAATGTCAGGCAAATTTAAAATATAAAAATAGATCAATGATGATGAATATATCCAGATAAAATAATTTAATTTATGTATAACAGAGATCTACACAATTTAAAACCAGAGTTTTCCACATTTAACCCGTATACACACTCGTCACCTCGCGTACACGACTTTCAACACATCACAATTATCATATCAATACAAATCCTAAGGAAAATTTCTCCCACACAAGGTTAGACAAGTCACTTAACTCAAATCTCACTCAATTAGTCAAGTAGTTTGCCTTTTCCTCGATTTTCAACTCCGATCGGCTCGAATCTAGCCAACATAATTTCATACTATAAATATAACTACAAAGAACTAATTTAAATAGTGAAATTACGACTTTAGCAAAGAATCAAAAATTCGGCCCAAAAATCGACTCGGGCCGACGTCTCGAAATTGGATAAAAGTTACAAATTACGAACACGCATTAGACCATGAATCCAACCATACTAGTTTCACTCAAATCCGACTCTGAATTGACATCCAAATCTCAAATATTCATTTTATTAAATTTTTACAATTTTTCCCCAAATTTCTATCTCAAAATACTAATTAAATAATAAAAATAATGATATATTCATGTATATTGACCAAATCCGAGTTAGAATCACTAACCCCGATATTTTTCTTGAAAATCTCTCGAAAATCGCCTCTCCCCGAGCTCCAATTTGTCAAAAATAGAAAATGGGACGAAGTCCCCTTTTCAGAACTTAAAGTTTCTCTCCATGCGTTGTTTTCTTCTTCTTGAACGCGGAATCCTCCTCGTGTTTGGGAAGCACAAAATTGTGCTGCCCGGATTTCCTCCTTCGCGAACGCAAGCCCGGTCTCGCGAACGCGAAGACCAAATTTCATCCAGGCCCGCTTTCCCTTTCCCGAATGCGTGCCCCCGGTCTTGGATGCGTAACTTTGCCCCTCAATCCTTCGTGAACTCGAAGTATAAAATGGCCAGTCTGAATTTCCTCTTCGCGAACGCGAGACTCCCCTCACGAACGCGATGAAGGAAACCAGATACAGGTATCAGAAAGTTCGAGGAGCTGTTTAAGTCCAAATTTCAATCCTTTAACCATCCGAAACTCATTCGAGGCCCCCGGGACCTCAACCAAATACACCAAACTCCTAAAACATCATATGAACTTAGTTGAAACCTCAAATCATATCAAACAACGCTAAAATCATAAATCATAAATCATACCCCAATTCAAGCTTAACGAAACTAACGAATTCCAAGTTCTACATTCGATGCCGAAACTTATCAATTCAATTTCGATTGACCTCGAATTTTGCACACAGGTCATAAATGACATAACAGAGCTATGAAAATATTCAGAACTGTATTCCGACTCCGATATCAAAAAGTCAACTCCACTATCAAACTTTCAAACTCAAATTTCTATTTTAGTCATTTTAAGCCTAATTTAGCTACGGATTTTCAAATAATTTTTCGGATACACTTCTAAGTCCAAAATCACCATACGGAGCTATTGGAATCATCAAAACTCTTTTTCGGGGTCGTTTATACATAATTCAGTATCCGGTCAACCTTTTCAACTTAAGTTTTTAACCTTAAGACTAAGTATCTTAATTCATTCTAAAATCTCTCTGGACCCGAACCGACTACCCCGGCAAGTCGCATAACAGTTATAAAGTACAGAATAAGCAGTAAATAGGGAAACATGACTACAACTCTTAAAATAACTGGCCGGGTCATTACATTGTCCATGTAAAAGATACATATGCACAATCACTGAAGGATGTAATTTATTCTTTACTTTTGGATAACTCATTAAGTTCATCCAAGATACGTGGACAAGGTTATGATGGAGCAAGTAATATGTAGGGAAAAATAAATGGTCTAAAGACTTTAATTTTGCAAGATGCTCCATCTGCATATTATATTCATTGCTTTGCTCATTAGTTGTAATTGACACTTGTAGCTCTTTCTAATAAGCATTCGGATGTGAATAATTTCTTTGATGTTGTCACTAATTTGTTGAATACTATTGTAGCATCTTTTAAACGCAGGGAATTACTTCGACAACACCAAGTAGAGAAGTTGGAAGAATTACTTAAAAATGGAGAAGCGTATACCGGGCAAGGATTGAATCAAGAACGTGGCCTCCAACGACCAGGTGATACTCTTTGGGGGTCTCATTTTAAGACCTTGGAAAATTTGATGATTGTATTTGCTTCAATTGTTAATGTGCTGAAAGATATGCAACAGGATTGTCTACTTTCTCTTAATAGATTTGCAGCAAAAAATCGTTTGGATAATATTCAAGAATTTGAATTTGTATTTATGTTGCACTTGATGTTCAACATGTTGCTTCTTACAAATGAATTGAATAAAGCTCTACAAAAAAAAAGATCATGATATCGTCAATGCTATGAGGTTACTTGACCTTGCAAAGACAAAATTGCAAACAATGAGAGAAAGTGAATTAGAATCTTTGATGGATGAGATTTACTCATTTTGTGATAAACATGGTATTTTAATTCCCAAAATGGATGAAAATTATCCAAGGTCGAAGCGTAAGAGGTCAGATATTTGATATTCACATCACTTTCGTGTGAAAGTATTTTATACTATTATTGATTTCCAACTTCTAGAGCTCAATTATTGTTTTGATGTAGTGACTAGTGGCTTACTCCTTGGTATGACTAGTTTGAATCCGGTTGATTCATTTGATAATTTTGACAAAGATAGAATAATGAAGCTGGCCGAGTATTATCCAAGTGAGTTTGGCGACAGGGAGCTTCGGGATCTCCGTTACCAGCTTGATAGTTTCATTGTCTATGCTCAAAAGTGTAATAGCATGTTTCTCAACTTGAAAGGAATTAAGGATCTTGCTATAGTGATGGCCAAAACAAAATTGAATCAAACTTGGTGTCTTGTTTATTTACTTGTGAAGCTGACGTTGATTTTACATGTTGCTACGGCAAGCGTGGAAAGAACATTCTCCTCAATGAAGCACATAAAGAATGATCTACGAAATAGCATTGGTGATGAATTTTTGAATGGTTGTTTAGTTTGCAATATAGAGCGTAATGTATTTGCAACTGTAAGTAATGATACTATTATGGATCGCTTTCAAAATATGAAAGCTCGTCGAGTACAAATGTAAATTGATAATGTATTTTTTAGATAATGGAATTGGATAATTTTTGCTAGCCAAGTTGTTGTTTTGTAAAATTTTATATCGTGAAACTGAATGTTTATTTTTGAAGCATGCTTGTCTTTGAAATAATGGTGCACCCATCTTCTCGAATTCCTGGATTCGCCAATGCCTTCTCCCTCTTTGCTCCCCATTCCCCGTCACTATATCTTCCTCCTCAAGCCTCTTCAAACACAAATTAAAACTAATTTAAGTGCAAATAAATAAGTATAAATTTGAAGGTAAAAGATAAAAAATTAATAAAGATATTAAGAGTTATCAAGTGCCAAACATAAAGCTGTGATTGAGACAACTTCCTTAGTAAGTACATTACCCTCCACCGAATAAACAACGCGTTCATATTCCATTAGTTACATATTTTCTACTTATTCTCCTCTTCTTTCTCTTCTTTTGCTCCTCCTCACCCTTTCTCCCTCTTTCCTCTTCATTCACCCTTTCCCCTCCACCCTCCACCACTACCTCCTCCTCATCAAACCTCCTCTAAATTAATTTAAAGTTAAATTTAGAGCGAGTAAATAAATATATATATTTGAAAAGTAAAAGATACAAAGTTATTAAAGATATTAAGAGCTATCAAGAGAGCGTACCAGTGTGAGATATTACATTATTCGAGATATTAAGAGTCATCAAGAGAGCGTATCAGAGTGAGATATCACATTGTTCGAGAGTTTCATGACTTCCTGAATAGTATTTTGAGACGGTAAGCGCTTTTCGAATAATTTCCTTTCACGATTTTTATATTTTGTATGGTCGTACCTAATCACTGGTTTCGCTTGGTAGGGCGAGTGAGGCAAGAAATAGTGTCCAATGTTTGTATAAAAAAGTAAGATATATATTATGGTGAAAGATATTAAAATTTATCAAATATCAAACATAAAGGTGCGATATTTTTAGTAAGATTCCACGTGGCTTTAAATATGTCAAATATTATCTTGAATGACCAAAAGCCAATGAAATGAAATTGACAAATGGTGAATATAAAATAATGCAATTCGAAGTAGTATATTACTTGAAAGAAACAATGTGTATAAACTTGTTAGAAATAGTAGACAATGTATTTTAAATAAATATAACAGTAGTGTGTAGATTTAGTGTGAATATCAACTTAATTTTATTACTTCGATAGTAATTTTTTATTTATTTAAGACCAATCATTTCCAAAATTGTGTTATTTGGACCGGAAAAGAAAACTAAAAAATAGCGTCAGTTATGCAACCCTAGTCCTGCAATGAAAGTCAAACTTTATAATTTCACATCGACCGAGAAAAAAACATAGTATTTGTCTTCATATACATTCCCTCCTATCTACAACATATGTCCTTTTGTCTATATAAACACCTATTAAGAAAATAATTAAATTCGTTAAATAAAATAATTATTTAACGATATCATTAATAAACTATAAATGAGAATAACCAGGCAACTCTTGGTCAATATGTCTGCCTAGCCCGAGGATAAAATTATAATTGCACTTACAGCCTAATACGTGGAACGTAGTTTGACTGCCCTTAAGTTACCATTTGGCTAACGTGAGTGGTGCACGTATAACTTTTCTAATAAGTGGGCCCCATTTGAATTTTCTTCTCATGCTCACTCTATTTCCCAAATGTGATTTTGCAGGTTTTTTTATTGTAATAGTCACGTGCAATGTTTTGTAAATACATACTAGATAACTCAATTTAATTAATTTGTTACATAGAGTTTCTTTTTACCAAAATGACAACATTATTTCAAATGAAAATTGTAGCTAAGTGTTATTTTTGTTAAAAAAAAAATATTGCATTGGTCAATTAAACTTTCTACTAACTAAAATTTGGAAAATAAAAATGTAAGATGAATTAAAGACATGGAAAGGACGAAAGGCTAGATAAAACAAATTAAAACTAATTAGCAGTGCATAGGAAGATATCATTGGAGTATTTTATTTGTCCAGATTAAATATATGATGATACTGTGAGTATAACAGATGAAAAATAATAATGTGCAAAAAAAAGAAAGAAAACTTATGTCCTTTATAAAGAAAAAGAACAGAGATTTTTAATAATTAAACTTTCTTGAAATGAGTAACTTATGCAAGCAAAGCGGGTATGCGTGCATTTAAATTGCAACTTTTGTTGTATTTTTTGGATGATTGTTATTCAACATTTTATAGTGTATATAGTATTTTATTGTATGTATTATACTGTATTGTTTCGATGATTACAATGTTTGGATAGATTATATCGTTTCTCATCGTTTTATAATATCATACACCAGCAGTTTGAAGGATACATTATAATATTATAAAAAAAGTATGATACGAGATAGACTTATTATAAAATAGGGTAGTGGGTGAAATATAAATATTAAAAAATTATTAAGGATGAAATGAGAAGAAAAAATAAGGTAACAACGCGAGCACACCAAATTGATTTCATCGTTAAGTAACGATCAATTTAGCAATACAAAACAATAATAAGTAACAATCAAAATAAATAATATATTTAAAGTAACAAAATACAATAGGTAACAATCATCCAAACAGGTTGTGATGAAATACCTGTAAAACATCGTAACTTGTTGTTTTGAAGCTGTTAAACTTTTAGGATTTCTATTTAAAACGTATACTACATACGGAAAAGGACCTAAACTAACCCTATCGTTTGCTAAATGGTTTATAGAAATCCTCCGTCTATCTATCAGTATATTACATTAATCTATATATAATATAAAAGAGGGAAATTGAGAGCTGATGTGGCATGTCTCATAGGCAAGAATCTCTATTTAATTATCTATTTTCCCAAATTTTTGGGCTTTTTTCTTTATTTTAAATACAAATTCCTTATTTATCTTCTCTAATTATTATTACTTTATTCCTTTTCTTGCCGTTACTAATTTATTCTTTTTCCTTAAACCGTTTACAACTTGATTGATAACGTTTAGTCATTCTTCAACTTCTCGCACTTCTTTGAATGTCTGACTATTTGCACCTCTTTGTATTTCGGAATTTTCTTCTCCCCACCTTGCACTTCTTTGAATTTCTGACAAGGTGGGTTGCTCTGATGGTAAGCATCCTCCACTTCCAACCAAGAGGTTGTGAGTTCGAGTCACCCCAAGAGCAAGGTGGGGAGTGCTTGGAGGAAAGGATGCCGAGGGTCTATTGAAAACAGCCTCTCTAACCCAGGGTAGGAGTAAGGTCTGCGTACACACTACCCTCCTCAGACCCCACTAGTGGGATTATACTGGGTTGTTGTTGTTGTTGTTGTTGTTGTTGTTGCACCTCTTTGTATTTCTTCTTTCGAATATATTCTTCTTCCTCTTCAATATCTTCCAGAACCAGAACATGGGAATTCCATTCTGGAGGAACTCCAAGTTCCTGAGTATTTATGAAAACGTATATTAATTGTTCATAGAAAACATATCTATAGTCATATGGTGTTTTACACCCATGAGCGTTGCTACAATCACATCTCAACCATATTGGAATTTGGAACTCCAAGTAGAAGCAACTTGCAATATAATGTTACATTATTTAATGGAAACCTTTAAAAACTCTACTTGCACGATGGAGCAAAGTGCTTGGAGCTTTGTGGTTTACGGTGAGAATAATAATTTTTTTATAAATTCTCATTAATCTATCTTAAAAGTCTATTTTTTCTCTCTTCCTTCGGTATAACTTTGATCTTTAGTCCTTGAATTCTGATTGTTTCTATGTTTCGGACGTTACATGTTGAAGGTGCTTGTAACTCCTACACCTCACTAACATATCTTCACCAAATGAAATATATTTCTCTCTGGAATTTACCACATGCAAGATATCTACTTTCTTTATAATTCAGGTATATTTAGACGGCTAAAATTACTTCATGTTCATTGTTTATTTGCCCCTTTTGATTTTTTATTCTTTGATTTCTTCTGTTTTCAATTTTAAGCAACTTTTTTTTTTAATTATTTGAATTATAAGTTTTGTTACTAGAGATTGATTAATTATCGTAGGGATGTTGAGTAGGAAATTATCTCATCCTATAGAAAAAACACTAATCTATTATCATATCTGGGAAGCCTAGCTAGCACCAAAAGGTGGAAACAAATGTACATAATAGGTCCTTCCCAAAATTGAGAGCATGTATATATGTGAATTTGAGGGGATAGGAGAAGATAGAGGAGGTGAATTTATGGTAAGGATTTTGATATACAGCCTATCGTGTGATTTCGGTTACTAATTCTAGAATTAATAAGCCTTTATTTCTTTTGTCTAGATTAATAAACCTTTATTAGTACATGATAGTCATAATGATTATAGTCAAATTGTAGCTAATGCAGAGTTATTATTTTCAGTTATTTTTGAAATTAATTACATGAAAAGTTGATTAATTGTATTTGAAGACTTTTGGAAAATTAATAATTAAATAAATGAAGAAATGAAGGGAAAGATCAAAAAAAGAAGAAAAAAGATAATTGAGTTTCTTGGTCAAAAGAAACATGTCACATCAAATCTCTATTTGTACACAAATTCTTTTAATGGGTTTGGTAGACTTAATTTGTGATGAATGATCATAGATTGGAATTGGTTGAAAATTGGGCTCGACATATAACAAGAATAAAATTATTAGATGACATCTATATTTGGATGTGAGGAATATTGTGGAACTAGAAAAGCTTCTTATTTGTGGGACTATTTATTATATTGGTAATGAAAAGTTTAAATTCATTTATATAAAATTATAAGTGTACAACCAATAATATTATTTTTTATCTTATTTGTATAGTAATTGGCAGTTGTGTCACGACCCAAAATCTCATCACAAGCGTCGTGATGGCACCTAGTCTCTAAGACTAGGTAAGCCGATTTCAATAACATTTTGAAGCCATTTTTTTTAAAAAAAAACTAACATCGGAATTAATTA